TGGCCTCTTCATGCGAAAGACTTATAGAGATTTTGTTTGACCGCCGTTGCCATCGCTGCATGACCAGAATACGTTAGTAACAGCGAATCACCAACGATAAGGATCGTCGAAGAATCTTCACCTCAGACAATCTTAGCCGTCCCCTGAGTGTCGTCATCTCGCTCCAGACACTATGGTGGCTGGGACATGTCTTTTCGACTCTACGGCTGCCCCTTCGTGTTATGTTTGAGCAACCAACACCAACTGGAAGCGGCAACGAGGTGGACAATTAATAACCTGGGCTCGAACGATGAGGGCATTAACCGCAAAACTGGCAGTGGTAGGACGTTCTACGCCCCCAGGTTAGGGTCCCAGCGACAACAAACATCTATGGCTTGAGAAGTTAGCCGACATGGCTGGTAACAGGCGTACTTTGTAGCTTAAACACGGAATCCATTAAAATGCAGCGAATGTGTCATAAAACTTTGATGTACAGCGCACGATTGTCCCGTGCTTAGATGAGTGACGACACTCGCTGCCGAATGCGTTGTACATCTACGTTGGTCCCATTGTTCATCTACCCCGCGACTTTGATGAGCTCTTAGCTCATGACTTAGCTCTGCTCAAATGCAAGTACAAATAGCTGGGCTAACCGGATTTTTGGCATTTTCGGGGACCAGTGAGTCGAAGCGCAGAGTGCATCACAATTAAATCGTGGACAAACTCAAAGCAAGTTGGGTGGCCACCACTTCGTAGGTACTGAAATTTCCCCCTCGGCTGGAGATGAAAGGTCTACAAAAATATTACCAAGCTCAGCGAAAAGTTGATAATCAACACAACTATATCAAGCTTTGCATAATTAATTAAACTTCCTAGATTTACAATAGGACACAAATAATGCTATTAGTCAACGCATTTGCTGAGTTATTGAACAAATAACCATTGTTTTTGCCTCCATTCCGGACACCGATCGATCTCTGGAGCCGCATCGCACTTAAAGGACTGTTTAATGATATTCAAAATACGATTGGGACTCCTGCCTTCACAATTAGTTCAGTATCTACTTGGCGCCAATCAACTGAACTTGTTTCACCATCTCCCGAATTGCGCTAAGTATTTCGAGGACAATTCTGGGACTATTAACTGGACAATACTACTAGGATCCTGAATTACTATTTCCGATAAAATTACTAACTAACCCATCGTACGTTCTGAACAAGCCTCTCGACCCACCTGCATGAGAGTTCTCACACTGAAGACCTTCGGATTCAAAGGTTGAAGAAATTAAGGATTCTACTTTTTGTTTGGTTGTAAACTAAATACAACACTACTTGGTAACGACCTCAAGAGAATGATGGTCAAGTTATTCAAGGGGATACTGCGGGTAGAAATGAGGGGTAAAAGGGTAGGTTCGTGTACGGAAGATAGCACAAAGCAAAGATGGAGATATCTGGGTGATAGCTGACTTGCCATTCTCCACTCCAACTGATACAATGGGCTGTGTGGTCTGAAATGCCCTATGCAACTATGAATAGATTATAGAATTTTTGAAAGCGTGCGCATTCATCTGTTGCAGTTTGATGGATGAGTACTACTAAATAATTTAACCACTGAGCATTTGGACAATTAGGATTTTCAACAGAAGCCTTTGGTTATGACTGGAATTTAATCGCAAAACAACGACTGAAGATCTATTTGAACCAATAACTCTCGCATCATTTTTCATTTGGAGACGCCAGATTTCGTTGCATTTCCAGCCTAGAGACCAGGAGATGATTCTACCCGATCTTAGTCATGATAAGATCTTTGGGCTTGACGAGAGCCATCCTGTGTAGACCGTTAGGTCATAGAGATGATCAAGCCAACCTACATCTACCTGCAGTCTGAATGTGATCTGTTAGTATAGGCCAATCGAGCCTTAATTATGCGTGCAAACACTTAACTCGAGATTTCACTCATGGGAGAGATGTAGCTCTCGAAGTATATGCCCACCTCAATATATGAACCACTGATATAGTGCGCATTTTGCTCCAGTTCATTTTATAACAAAAACATTCAGGCCTATTTGCGGAGTTTCTAAAGCTGATTTACTCTGTCTGAAAGAATAAACCGATCATCATATTGTCTCACAAAAATCAACTTCACAAATAATTTATTTTTACAAATACCTTCTGATAAGAGATGATGACAAAAACACCATTTCTGTGGGTTTTCTGTCTTGATCTTTGGTGTTTCTGACCAACGGGTAAAGTTTGCATTGGATCCCATTCCGGGGGAAGAGGGAAAACTAGTTCATCAATCTCTCTATGCAGCTCTTCAAACCTCGCTTCTATGTGATCTAATACCCTCAAAGTTGTTTTTCTTCACACCGGGGAAGTGTGATCTGGAAGATGACCGCTTTGCATGAGCACTACGTGGTATAACCATCAAATCCTACTTATCGTTATCTAATTTTCAATACAATAATAACCACACTGACACTAGGACTAGACCAGGATTCTGGGTCATAAAAGTTCCGTTAGACTCCCTGGATGGGGACCTCGGGATGATCATACCCGATGGTCAGAGACAGTGAGTGATATGGTTGAGTGTCGTAAACAGTGGCGTTCGTGCATCTTGTAAACTCCTCCTAAATTTTCTCCTTTATCCTACTTTCAACCTTTTCTGTCTTTCTCCTCCTGTCTTTTTTCTTACGTTCATCCAAATGGTCAGCCAACAGACAGCAATCAAAACCGGCGCACGATAGTGCATGATTAATGGTTGTACAAACTGAAACTGAACGCTAGGAACGAATGAATTCAAAACGACAGTATATCACCAGGTGACTAATAAAATAGTGATGAAAATTGCTAGATATTTTTCAAGGAAAAAAATAAATGAACTCAACAATACCAGTTTCAAAGATAATGAATAGTATTCAGAAGTCTTCTTCGCCTAAGAAGTCAAGACATGTTAAGAAACGCTTTATGTACCCAAAGCGTGAGTTTTCAGCAATCTTATGAAGAAGAGCAACACAAACTGTACCAAATGATTTTTGACTTGTCAGTATAATATGAAGTTTACCTTAAAAAGCTATTGGGAGTTGGAACATATAAAGGGAAAACAACGAAACCTGGTTTATTTTGATAGCGTATTCAGTCATAACATTTCAAATTCTGAGATAACAAACTGCACTCACATGATGCACTCAATTGTATAAAATTCGATTCAAAGAACGTAAAACGTACCAACAGCCTCGGGTCTCGATTGAGTTTTGGAATGCCTTTGACCCTGAGTGCATTTACATTTGGATGAACTCCTGAAGGAGTGCCATCTTCTTTCAGACCCAGTATACGACATAATTGTTTTGTACTGATAGAGCCAACTTTTTCCATGTCAAGTTTGCTTCAAACATAACGAATAACATTTGGAATGAATCGCTAGACGTTTGATATATTATGCTAAGCATTAGCATTTAATCAGAAGTAATTATATAAAAATTTTATGGTTAATGCAGTGAAAAGAACAAAGTGTGTGGATAAAAATTGATTATTAAAGAAGTGACTAACTAAAATCAAATTTGAATAAGGATTCCATCTTAAAACTAAGTTTCAAGCAGCAAATTGTAAAATATTCCGTTATTAGAAACAGTTGTGTGATAATTCTTGATTATTTTGCATGCTAAGCTAAATCCAAAATTTGAGCGAATTTCTATTGCGTTATTTTCAATTCACTTAAAGCGTAAACAACGATGAGGAACTTTTAATATAGTTAATTATCGAGCGGGGTGGTCGCTTCACTGAATTCAGCTGTATGGTGATAATGAAGACGACCAAAAAATCTTAAGCTATCCAAGTTAACCTACCTGGGTTAGGCGTATTATTCTAGCAGTTATCTGATTTTAGTTGTTCGTGTGACAACATCAATACAAATTGTGACGTGTCAACGTCAATTATGCCATCGATCAGTTCTCCGTCCCACTCAGACTAAGACCAGTGTTACGTCACCCACATACACATGCACACACGCGGACGCTCGTCCGCTCGCACATGCACACAGACACCACGACTCATTCCTATTGGTTGACCTGTTAGTCATTGTTCTATTGTAGATTGTCATGTGACGCATGATCATTCAGTAAAGTTACGTGCCCTGGACCATACGGGTTCAGTGACTTGTCCTCCGGGCTAACTACAGGTTAGCCTGATTGAGACAAACGTTTGACTCAAATGAACCATAGGCAATTAAAGAAGGTAAGTACCAGGAAACAACAGTTACTGAAATGTACCAGATTATTTTAGCTTGTTTAACGGCAGATTAGTTTTTTCTGGTTTATAGTGTTTTGGAAAAATTGCTTTTAATTAAGAGTATACAATTTCCAATCTGACTAACTTCACCTGTAGATGACAAAGTATTTCACCTTTTCATTTTGTTTTCGCTTTGTCAAAACGGGCGGCGAATTTGAGGTGAGTAGAAATTTATACAAACGTCCCAGTGTTACTGAACTTACTAAATGACTAAACTATAAAAGACATGAGCAACTTGTGTAAAACACTAGTCAAAAAAGAAGAGTTTTTATATTACTGAAACTGAGCTTAAATTAATGAAGCAACGTCGAGGAAAAATCAGTGATTTGGGTACTATTGAGTGCAAATTCATCTTCTTTTTGTAGAAATCGTAATTATTACCTGGCATTCAACTCCAGTGTACCTCAAATCACTGCTGAGAGACGTTCTGTTAATAAATTTGTATTGGCGACAGATATTATGAGAGGAACGGTAAACGAAAGCGTTAGCTAGAAGGACAGATTCGAAAACGTTTGATGACAATGCGCTCGGTAAAAATAAATTTACCTACGGCATTACAAAATAAATGAATGATATTCAGTTGTAGGACAAAATTTACCTCCCTTCTCGTGGGCTTCCAGTATAAATATACTTACTCAGTCCATAAGCGTCTAAAGTTCTCTTCGGTCATGTTGAGACGCATCAATTTCAGCGCCTTCCGAAACTGAGGACATAATACATAGCCATCTGGTTCGAAACAACTTGGTGGAAGTAGACGTTTCAAGTTAAAGTTAGGGTCACAGGCAATATCTTGCATCATTCGAAAGGTTTGTGCTACCGATAGAGAGCATTCCGAACCTAGACCTTCAAATATTACCGGTGGAGCTTTCTTTCCAAGTGGTTCGGCAGTGAACGCTTCCTCGAACTGGCGAAAACTGACGGCATATTCCCTATCCAGCCTGTATCTGTGACATAGCATAAGAAAATATAGAAATAGGTGAAGATGACAACTAAAATAATTTCAGGATACGTAAACCTATTGACACATGAACATTCA